GGGCCTTCTCGGTAGTGGCGCCCGCCCTGTGGAACGCCCTTCCAGCAGATGTCAAAGCGATAAACAACTACCTAACATTCAGAAGACATCTTAAGGCAGCCCTGTTCAGGGAAGTTTTTAACATGTGATTTTACTGTATTTTTGGTTTTTATGGAAGCCGCCCAGAGTGGCTGGGGAGGCCCAGCCAGATGGGCGGGGTATAAATAATAAATTATTATTATTATTATTATTATTATTACTGAAAGTAGCTAGGTGTTTCTTTCCTACCTCTTTTCCTCTCTTGGGCTGCAGCTCCCTCCTTACACCATTTATTCTGTTATCACCAGGTTGGGCATCACTTTCCTTTTGGGTGAAGACAGAGGCAAAGTAGGTGTTGAGTAGTTCTGCCTTCTCTCTGTCACCCAATAGCATACCACTTGCTTGTTCCTCCTCTTTGGACATAGCCAAAGAAACCTTTATTATTATTATTATTACTACCCTCTCTTGCAAGCCTGAGCTCATTCTGAGCTTTAGCCAGCCTGACTTCCCCCCTGCAACTGTTGACTACTTGTGTGCAGTGGTGCCTCGCAAGACGAAAAGAATCCGTTCCGCGATTCTCTTCGTCTAGCGGTTTTTTCGTCTTGCGAAGCAACCCTATTAGCGGCTAAGCGGATTAGCGCTATTAGCAGTTTAGCGGCTTAGCGGCTATTAAAGGATTAGCGGCTAAGCTGCTAAAAGGCTATTAGCTGCTTAGCAGCTTAGAAAAAGGGGGGGGAGCGGGGGGGAAATCGCAAGACTAGCAAGACGTTTCCGTCTTGCAAAGCAAGCCCATAGGGAAAATTGTCTTGCGAAGCAACTCAGAAACGGAAAACCCTTTCGTCTAGCGGGTTTTCCGTCTTGTGAGGCATTCGTCTTGCGGGGCACCACTGTATACTCCTCCTTTGTGATTTCCCCTTTCTTCCATTTCTTATACATGCCCTTCTTAGCTCATCTGTAAGCTCCTTATGCAGCCACATTGGTTTCCTTAGATGCCTCCCACTTTTCTTTCTTGTTGGTATTGTTTGCATTTGGGCCTTCAATATTTCTCCATGGACTCCCTTCCCTTTGAGTATTTCTGACCAGTAGCTCCTTCAGGTTTTGTTTTTGTTTTTGTTACTTTTTGAAATTTTGAAACCTTCTTAAAGTCCAAGAGTGCATGTCTGACTACATTCAGCTTTTCCTTGCCTGTGTATCATGAAATCCAAGTTTCTGAGTGCTTCTACTTCGTCAATCAGCTCCTCCTTGTTGGTGAGGACCAGGTCAACCACACTTCCACAACTCTGCCACCTACATTTTTTATTTCTTCTGTTGTTTACTACCTCATCAGCCCACCCACTATAAATCCTGGCAACCCATATGTTATTTCATAGTTGAAGTAACTATGTATATCTTAAGAAGAAGTGCCTTCCCAGCCTCAAGCCAGATAAGATCAATTGGTGACAGGAAAGACTCCTGTAACGCCAGGGAGCTGTTCATGGTGCTGGAATAAGAGGCTTTCAGCTTTCATTGCCAGTTTACTAGGTCCATCTTGCTCTATGACACCATGGTTTCTTTTCTCTGGCTATCAGTTATTTATTCATTCAAGTGCTTATATCCCACTTAATATAGCAGTGAACTGTAAGGGAGACACAGAGATCTAAATAGAGACCATTATTTGTGGTGCGACACTCCTTTTGCTTGTATTTACTTTTGATTCAGATTTGTCATGGGCAATAGGTAGTACAATAAAGTCATTTTGATTGGATTTATATCCCACTTTTCAAGGCGAAAGACTTCACAAAGTAGATTAGTATAGCTTAAATCCCATCCATAAATAATAATATTCAGTAAAATCAGCCTTTACCTAAACATAACCTTAATGCAAATATTAAAAAACAAGTTTAAAATAATACAAACCTGACGCAACACTTTAAGGACAGGCTGAAACCCAGCACGGCATCTGAAGTGGGCCAGAGTGTTCAGATATGAACATATAGCATAGGGAAAGCAGACCACAGCCTTCCTTAGACTTTAAATAATGATGATAATAATATTGAAAACCATCTGACTTCCCTGTGAAATTTTCCCTAAAATGCAGCCAGAAACTGCTGGCTTTCATAACTACTAGCACAACAGCACTACAGATTTAAGCCATTTCCAGATTGGTTTTACTGTCAGGACTGGCTTCTCAGCTCATGAGAATGATCCCCTGGAGCACCATTTTAGGTTTAAGTAAAAGGGTATGAAGAAAAGATTAACGGAAACCTACTCAGGGATCCATTCAAGATGAACTGCAACATAAGCACGTGTATTTTTAAGAGCATTTGTTGCATTTGCATTTTAATATCTCATTATCAACACAGGTCACACAGCAGCCTCCCCCTCCCCTCTGCTTGTTTGTTTTTAAATAAAAGGATTCATGCCTTTGCCATTCATACGTAGGTAGTTCACAAGCCCCTCCAATGTTTATAACAGTTAGGGAGTATGATTGACTTGAGCAGAGATATAGATCCTCCTGAGAAACAATCACAGCTGATCTAAAACATTTTTGAAGGGGGGTTCCCCCAACTCCTCCTAAATGGCACCCCTTGTTCTGTTTCTTTCTTTCCCATTTTGCTTATTCACACAGCCACTTTTAGGACTTCCTCTGCATCTATTCAGATTACACAAATGCACATACAATTTGAAGAGCACTGGAAGACGCTCTGTCTGCCAGATGAGTAAATGCACGTGGACAATTTTTACCATGGCATTGAAAACTGCTAGAACTGGGGCAGTGTGCAGAAAATTTGTGTGCACCCAGCAATAGCCCTATCATGAGATAGTGTGAGTTGGACTCAGGGGGTGGATTTGTGGCACCATTTAAGGGGGCCAACTTGGAAACAAATAATTTACACTCATGGGGCACAATCCCCTGGGATGTTCTCCTGTCCAAACCTTGCTAAAGTGAATGGGAGGCAGCTTAAGAGTACAGTGAACCATCAAACCCCTTTCTCTTCTTTCAAATGTTCACTCTCCAACATTCCTACCTTTCAGGAGTGACACTCCACAATGGAATCTGAAAGATCAAAGTTCAATTCCTGCTCAGACAGTGCACAACTGCCAATGCCACCGATGTAGCATGGAGCAAACTGCCACCCATACTCAGAGTTTGTAGTCAGCATTGTTGTATTTCCTCTGCCAAATGGTCCCCCCCTTGTTTTGTGCCATAAACCCTGGGTTTCTGACACCACCAGCAAGCATGCATCCAGTTCTCCCAATGGCCAACCAGATAACCTGTGGGAAACCATCAAGCAGGATTCATGCCCAAGAACCTTCTCCCCTCCTGTGGTTTCCAGCAACTGATATTCAGAAGCATTGCTGCCTCTGACTGTGGAGGCAGAGCAGAGCCATCATGGCAGGTATCCTTTGATAGCCCTCTCCTCCTCCATGAATTTATCTAATCCTCTTTTAAAGCCATCCACGCTGGTGGCCATCCCTGCCTCCTGGGCGAGAGGGACTGTCGGCAACATCACTGCAAGTGAGTTTCTGCAACCAGGTGAAACCGTCAAGCTCCCTTGTTGTTTTTGCCATGTGCAATGCTGCTGAACTAATCTTGTTACATTTACATCCCTCTTTTTTTCACCAAGGAGCTATAATTTAGGTTTACCAGACGTCCCCGTTTCCCGGGGACAGTCCCTGAATTTGCAGATAAGTCCCTGGACAAATTCCATCCCCGGAATGTCCCCGGATTTAATCTAATGTCCCTCTGAAACGCAGCAGCGGCAGTCTCAACAGCCCAGAGCAGTTGGCTCTGGCTGGCTTCAGGAGCTGCTGGGAAGTCCCCATCTGATGGTGGTGCAGGGGTTCTCAGATGCAGCTCTGGGCTGCCTCCACCTTCCCTGACCCAACCCCTACTTGTGCGCAAGCAGGAGCGGGACAGGGATCTCTCAGTTAGGCAATGGGAAGCCTCCCTTCCCAGCTGAGGGATCCCTGGAATGGGAAGGGAGGCCTCGTGCTGCCCAAGCCTCACTGCTGCCGCCGCTCTCGGCCCTCCTCCGCCGCCTTCCAAGCCTGACCCACCACCAAAGAACCAACAACTCAGGGGCTGCCCAGCTCAGGGAGAAAGGAGCCTCGGAGGAAGGGGGAACATGGCCGTTGAGGTCAAGGCGACGGCCGCCCTCTGCCACCGCCATCGCTGCAGCATCAACATCCCAAGCCTGTAGCATTTATTTATTTAATAATTAAAGTGACCCCGAATTCATTGGGGAAAAAATCTGGTAACCTTACTATAATTACATTTTAATGGTTGCCTTTTCCATTTTCTTTTTTTAAAGCTTTCCCCCTATTTGATCTGTGGACACTTTACATGACATCACATGGCTGCCCTTTCCATGGACTTTCCCCCTATTTTGTGTGCGTAGGCCGCCTCCAGTAATCCGCCTTGCAGTTTGTGTCCGCCGCCTTGGGCGCGCCTCGCCCGTCCTTGCGCCGCCGAAGGAGGAGCCCGCCGCCCCAGCACCTCGGCGGCGGCGGGTGGGCCGGGCCTGGCTGGTGCGCCGCGGCGGCGGGCGGCGGCGGCGACTTCATGGGGACGGCGGCGGCGGCTGGCGGAGGCGGCGCGAGCTGGGCGGCGGCGGCGGCAGCCTGGTCGTGACGGGTCGAGCCCCGGGCGGGCGGGCGGCCAGCGGCAGGTGAGGAGGGGCGCCTGCTGGGCTTCTGCCCCCCTCGGGCTGGAGGCAGGGGACTGGGCGGCGGCGGCGGCGCTGGCGCGTCTCCTCCCCTCGGGCGCAGCCTCCCGGGTCGCCCCCGCCGGCCTTCCTTCGCGGCCCAGCCCAGCAGCAGCAGCAGGAGGAGGAGGAGGAGGCGGCGGCAGCTGCAGCCGCCCGGCGGGGGAGGCGAGCGCGGGGCCCCGAGCGGGAGGGCGGCGGGCGGGCGGCGGGGGGGGGTCTCCTTCGCGGCCGCCGCTCCTTTCCTCTCCTCCTCGCTCGCCTCGCCTCTATTGGAGAGAGAGAGAGAGAGACAGGGCAGCAGAGAGCGAAGCCGGGCGGGTTTGCGAGGGGAAGAAGGCAGTGTCTGCATTGCAGAAGCTCCGTCTCTCTCTCTCTCTCTCTCTTTTTCTCCCCCCCCCCCGCCCGCCCGCCTCTCGCAGCTGCTCGGAAATGCCTTCCTGAGCCGGGATGCTGGAGCTTGGCTCGAGGAGGAGCAGGTAAGGGAAAAGAGCCAGAGTCTGCTGGACCCGGCTTGGTTTTTCAACAAACAAATCAATGGGTGATGTACCAAGGTGTGTGTTTGGGGGGGTGTATCTAGTAGGTTGCTGGACTGATCATGGCTCCCCAGCATTTGAGAACACCCTCCGTATAGTGGAGGTGACGGGGGGGCCGCACTGGCAAAGAAAGGCTGCTAGGCCATCCTGCTGCTAGTTGCCTGCACATCCGTTGCGTTGGTGCTGATATGTGTGGGTCCCCATCCACATATGCACATGGGTTGTATTCTGTTCTCTTCCTCCGCCTCCCTCTGCTGCCTGCAAAAGACGACCTGGCAAGCATCAGAGTGAATAAGCATCTTACAGTTATGAAGGGGGGAGCAGAGTGCAATGAGGTATCATGTGCCTGTCGAACGTGATGCATCTGCAACAGCAGCTAAGAGGGAAACTGGGTTTTTGGTTTTGTGTGCATGTGTGCTTTGGCATGATTATGATTTCTTTGAAAGTGCCACTGGATCACTGCAGAAATGTCACACCTGTAGATGTTTCTATGGAGACCCTCCTGAAGCCGAAGGCTGGGGTGGTAGCCTGTGCCGTAGCTTCCCACCACATGCCATAGTAACGCCACAAGAGGATATGTGGCTTCACAGAAAAGGAATATGGTCCTATTTGCTACAGAAATGGTACTGGGCTCTTCGGTCTTCAGTGGTACTCTGGCAACAGAGTGTGGGAAAAGATGTTGTCACTTGACCATACAGATTTGGCCAGGGCCGATGATGTCATCTTGTAACAAACTCTTGTGTCTTCATCAGCCTCTTCTTTCTCTCCCCCCCCCCCACAACAGTGCAGTAATTAGCAACACTTAACCTGGGCCTGTGGCATACAATTAAATGCAAATAGCCAATAAATTAGAACAAAATTAATATGTGCCTTAAAAAGGGTATTTCAGAATGCTTAAATTATGGAATGGATATTTGGAATGGTCTGGGTAGTTCTGCATCAAACAACTGAAGACATGATTGGTTTTAACCAGACAGCTGTTTACGGAGGCTAGCATTCTTTCACCCTAGCAATATGAAGAAAGTAGGTCCATTCTATATGAGAACTCGATTGTTTTTATATCTTGAAATTTTATTTAACTCTTAAATAAACTGGTACTTAAATGTTTGCTTGTTTTGCACTCAATCTAGAATTATTCATGTCTAATATTTGTTAATGTATATAGATAACGTCTCTCTAGCAAAAGGCCAGATTCCAGATAAGGTATGGTGGCAATTGTGCAGTGTAGGACTCTCAATTCTTTTTCTCTCTCTTGACCCTTGTGAGATGCTTCTGGTAGGTCAGTGAATATAGTTGTTTGGCTTTTTCCCTGGAGGATATGAACTGGGTCCTGGCTCATTACTGGGTGTCAAGGTGCCTCTCAGGCTCATTTCCCACTCTGTTAAAACAGGGGTATTATGAAGAGGAACAAGAAAGCTTATTATTCTTGAGTCTAAAAATATAGCAAACGAGAAAAAATGTTACTTGCTCTTTTGATTTTTAAAATTATTTTCAGTGGAAATTGATCATATTGTTCCCTAATATTTTTTTAGTAATGAGATCAGAATTTGACCTCCACGTGCATAAGTATTTTGCACTGTAATTGAAGTACAGTGGTACCTCTGGTTACATACTTAATTCGTTCCAGAGGTCCGTTCTTAACCTGAAACTGTTCTTAACCTGAAGCACCACTTTAGCTAAGGGGGCCTCCTGCTGCTGCCGCGCCGCCGGAGCACGATTTCTGTTCTCATCCCGAAGTAAAGTTCTTAACCCGAGGTACTACTGGTATTTCTGGGTCAGCGTAGTCTGTAACCTGAAGCGTATGTAACCTGAAGCATATGTAACCCAAGGTACCACTGTATGTATCTCTAAGTGTAATATGTGTGTTTCTGTTTTGTCTTGTGCTTTATTTGCTGTGCTGTCTATTTGTGTCATGCACATCATGCCTATAATCCTGTACCTGCTTACTTCAGAGCAAGCTCCATTAAACTCATTGAGACTTGCTTCTGAGTAAATGTGTAGGAGTGCTTTATGATTGTACTTCTGCTGTCTGTTTATGTCAGACAGTATTCATGTATCTGTCCTATAGCTAGGATATTTGGGCCAAGAAGGAGATACACCGAGTTGCAATGGAGGCATTTAATTCAGTCTGTCACAAGGCTTTTATACGTTACAGTTATTTGTTTTAAGGAGCATGTACATCCCATTGAATTCGGTGGTGCTTACTCTGAGGTAGGTTGTTGGATTGCAGCCTAAGAAAATAAGTTGAGGGTAAATCTGTATTTTATCATTTGTATTTGTTTTCGTTAGACCAACAGGCCTGATTCTCACCAGCATGTTTGGGTGTCAGACAGAAGGAAGTTGTTGTATCTTCATTTTTCACTCTGGTGGTATGAAATAAACTTTCAAACTGTGGTTTCATATCTGTCTCAGATATTACATTAATAATTTTGTTTTTGTTTTCAATGACACATTTTCAGTTATTGATATGGCTTTAATGGTCTGCAGTGATGAAGCAAGCAGAGTCCATTAGAAATTACAGTTGTATTTCATAGAAAGTATAGGCGCATAACACCCCCTCTTAGCTCTTTGTGTCTCTGTTTATAACATTTAAGCTTTCATATGGAAGGAGTCTGGAGCTGTGGCCAGTGCTAGAAACTCAAATATATAAGGTAATTGCCAAATGGCGCCATAAACCTATGTTACAGTTGCCACAGAAGAATGTCTAGGTGCCATTCCCCCCACAATGAGCCTTATTGTTATAATTATTTTTCATTTCATTTCTATACCAACACATTAAAAATCAAATAAAACAATCCCAAATAAAACAAATTCAAGTTTCAAGGAAAATATTTCAGATGCTTCTCTAAGTGACATTTTGCTTTTACCATATTTATTTATCTACCTAATTTATAGAGCTGCCCCATAGCAGACGCCAGTGTGCTTAGAGTGTTGGACTAGGACCTGGAAGATCAGAGTTCAAATCTCCACTCAGTCATGAAGCTCACTGGGCCAGTCACAACTTCTTAACCTACCTCACAGGTTCGTTGTAGAGATTGACTGAGGAGGGAAGAGAACCATGTATTCCTTGGAGGAAAAGGTGGGATATAAATGCAATAAATAAGCTCTTCTGCTTACCTGCTTAAGAAAGAAGAGGGGCCAGCCAGGTGGAGATGTCCATTGCCAACCTGGCATCCAGGTATCTCCAGGTTGCAGTTGGACCCACGGCAGTTGCAAAACGTGCCCAGCTAATTGTGAACACTGGCTGGGACTATCCAACACATCCTTGGGAGGTTTGAATAGGAGAGAGCATTCCTTTACGTATGCCCTTTCATTATGTAGCGATGGAAAGATCTCTATTCCAGTCCCTCTTCAGCCAGACTTGAGTGGATAAATTATAGTATAAGAAGGCTGGGCTTACTTTCCACTCCAGCCATAAATATTCCATCCCTAGTGCTTTTCTGAATGGTGAAATGGGACCAGTAATGACCTCACAGGCTTCTTTTCTATTTGGAGGCGGATTCTAAGACTGAAGTACCTCACCAGACTCCTGTGTAAGCTTAGCAGTCGTGGGATAAATGGAGAAGCAGAGAGTAGAACTCAATGGAAAGTTCTCCCAATGGAGAAATGTTGAAAATGGAATCCTTCAAAGATTGATATTGGGACCTATGGTTTTTAACTTGTGCATAAATGACCTAGAGTTAGGGTAAGCAGCAAGATAACCAAGCTTGCTGCTGATACAAAATTGTTCAGAGTGGTTAATGCAAAAAGGGATTGTGTAGAGGCCCAGCAGTAAAATGGCAAATGAAATTCAGTGTAAGCAAATGTAAAGTGATGCACATTGGGATGCCCATGGTGAATGAAGAGGAACAAGAGCTTGAGGTCATAATGGATAGCTCAATCCATTATGATGCTTGGCAGGGGGTTGGACTCGATGGCTCTTGTGGTCTCTTCCAACTCTATGATTCTATGATGTTGACCCAGCTGTGAATTCCCTGTTAGGCATAATTGGGAAAGCAGTATATTCCTTTTCTTATCACAATCCTGTTATACAGCCACATTTCAAATACAGAACATAGTTCTGGTTACCTCACCTCATAAAGGATATTGTAGAACTGGAAAAGTTTCTGAAGAGGGTAACAAGAATTATCATGGGATGGGAACAACTCTCCTATGAGGATATGTGATAACATTTGGTTTAGAAAACAGGGAAGTAAAAGGAGACATAAAGGAGGTGCATAAGATTATTCCTGGTGTGGAGAAATGGATATAGAGAAGTTTTTCTCTTTCTCTCATCACAGGGCCATCCAAAGAAGAAGAAAATAAAGTACTTCTTGACACAGTACATAGTTTGTGTAATTTGCTGCCACATGATTTAGTGATGGTCACCAGCTTGGATGGCTTTAGACAAATTAATGGAGGACCAGGGTCTCTTGCAAATGCCATCTTCTCAGGAGGTCCCTTGTGCACAATATAAGAATCGAGTCTTTAGTGCTTTATAACCTCCCCTTTGGAGTTCCCTCCTGTTAAATATTAGATAGGTGCTGCCTTTGTTGTCTTTTCAGCACCTGCTGAAGGCCTTCCTCTTTCCACAAGCATTATACAGTGGTACCTCTGGTTACCTACTTAATTCGTTCTGGAGGTCTATTCTTAACCTGAAACTGTTCTTAACCTGAAGCACCACTTTAGCTAATGGGGCCTCCCACTGCTGCCGCAGCACGATTTCTGTTCTCATCCTGAAGCAAAGTTCTTAACCTGAGGTAATATTTCTGGGTTAGTGGAGTCTGTAACCTGAAGCGTATGTAACCTGAAGTGTATGTAACCTGAGGTACCACTGTAATGGGAGATCTTTTCCAGTATGCATCTGTATTGGAATTGTTTTTAGTTTCTTTAAGATGTTTTGTTTTGCTGCTTGTGTGTTTGCTACTCTGGAATCCTTTTGGGAGGAAGGGTGGGATATAAAT